ACCTTATTACCATTGTTTTGAACTCTGTATCTAGTAGTTTGCTTGCTTCCACTTCATTTAGTTATTTTTCTGGAGATTTCTTCTGTTCTTTCATTTGTAACATGTTTCTTTGCCTCTACATTTTGGCTACTTCTCAGTGTTTGTTTCTATGTATTATGTAGAGCTTCTATGTCTCCTGGAATTGGTAGAGTGGCCTTGTGTAGTAGGTGTCCTGTAGGAGCCAGTGGCTCAGCCTCCCAAGTCACCTTAGCTGGGCACTCTAGGTGCACCCCCGTGTGGGCTGTGTGCACAGTCTTGTTGTAGATGAGCTTTGATTGCTGTTGGGTCACTAGGAGGAGCTGACCTTCAGGCCAATTGGCTGTGAGGACCAGCTGTGACTACAGTGGAAGAGGTACTGTGCAGGAGACACCCTTATGGAGCAGGACTTGCTTCAGTGGGGCTTTGGTGCTCATTGAGTCTGCCCCTTGAGTGTGTCACTCATAGATGTGTAGAGTTATAATCTGGAGTGGACTAAATCTGTCCACCATATATACTGGCTCTAGGGCCCCTCTGGAGGTGCAAAGTCATCCAATTCCTGTGCCCTGCCTGGGGCCACCCATCAGGAGCTACAGAGCAATCTTCAGATGGCTGCTACATGTGTTGGGCTTGGAAGTGCCCAGAAGAGGCCAAGTTGTGAAGCAAGGCAAACTGCTGCTAGTGCCAGGCCTGGGGCCTCTTATTGAGTGGTATGGGGCACACTGATTCTAGCTGCTGCTAGTTTGAGAGATTTTTAGGAAAGTCTGAAGCCTGAGCCAGGACAGGCCATTCATATGGAAAAGCTGCTGCAAACAAATTGGGTGCGGCTTCAAATTGGGTGGTGTGGGTGGGGTCTTAGGGAATCACCAGGGCATAGGGAACAGTGTGAGCCAGGTTAATGGAGACTCAGATTTAGCCTCTGCCAGTCAGCTCTGCAACAGGGGAGGTCTCAGCATAGGAACAATGACCACTGCAAACACCCCTGTCTGAGAGAAAGCCATCCCTGAGTTCTTTCTCTGATGTCAGACAATCCAGTTCCTCCCTGTATGTCCCTGGATCCACCCAAGCAGCTGTCTCAGCACTGGAGCTCAGAGGGAGCAAGTTCAAGTACAGTGGGGTCTTGACTTACGAGTATCCCGACTAACAAGTTTTTCGAGATACGAGCCGTCTCTCGGCAGATTTTTTGCTTTGAGTTGCGAGCTAAAATTCGGGTTATGAGCCAGCTTCAGGCACCCCACCGCTAGTTGGCACAGCGAACATCACAGTGAACGCCACAACATCAGCGCAGCATCACGTGTCTCACTCGTTCACTTTTTGATTTGACATACGAGTAATTTGAGTTACGAGCTCCGTCACGGAACGAATTAAACTCGTAAGTCAAGGCCCCACTGTAAGTCCATGGGCCAGCCCTTTAAGAGAAACACTCGGGACTCCAGCAGGCTCCGTGTCACTCAACCACAGTCCCCACTGGTTTTTATAGCCCGAAGTTACGGGACTTCTCTTCCCAGCACTGGAATCCTGTGCTGAGGGGTCTGTTTTGGGGCTGGAACCCCTTGTTCTTCATGGGAGGTCTCCTTAGCTTAGATATCCCTCCTGATTAAAAAAGATGTCACATGTGGGTGTCAGACTAGCCTGATCTACATTTCCTCCCCTCCTACCAAACTCAATGTACTTTCTTCTTTAATTCTCCAGTGTAGGACATCCATTCAGCCAGATTTCAGGCAGTTCTGAATGATGGTTGTTCTGTTGTTTAGTTGTCATTTTTATGTGGTTGTGGGAGGCAGTGAGTACTGCATCTACCTATGCCACCATCTTGGCTCCTGGCCCATATATCTAACTAAAAATATTTATTGTGTTAAAATACACATAACATAAAATATACTGTCCTAACAATTTTTAAGTGTACAGTTCAGTGGTATTAAATATATTCACATCATTATACTGCCATTGCTAATGATAATCACTAGAATTCTTTTTATCCTGTATACTCATTAAACAATAAATCCTCATTTTTCCCTTTTACCAGCTACTGGCAACCACCATTACACTTTCTCTATTTATCATTTTGACTAAGCTACTTCGTAAAGTGGACTCATACAGTATTTGTCCTTTTGTAACTGGCTAATTGCACTTAGCACAATGTCCTCAGTTTTTTCCATGTTTTGCATGTGTCAGAATTTTCTTCCTTTGATAGGCTAAATAATATTCCATTGTATGTGTATGCCATATTTTAATATGTCGTGGACACTTAGTTTGCTGTTGTTAATAATGCTTCTATGAACATGGTGTGCAAATATCTCTTCAAGACCCTGCTTTCAAATATTTGGGGTATATGCCCAGAAGTGGAATTGCTGGGTCAATTGGTAATCTTATTTTTAATTTTTTGAGGAACCTCCATACTGTTTTCCCCAGTGGCTGTACCATTTTTATTCCCACCAACAGTGCACAAGACTTTCAATTTCTCCACATCCTTGTTTTCTGTTTTTGATAATAGCCATTTTAATGAGTGTGAGGTGATACATCATATACTAATTTGCTTTTCCCTTATGATTAGTAATGTTGAGCATATTCTCATGTGCTTATTGGCTCTTTGTATCTCTTCTTTGGAGAAATGTCTATTAAAGTCTTTTGAATCAGGTTGGTTGTTTTGTTGTTGAGTTTTAGGAGTTCTCCATATATTCTGGATATTGACCCCTGATCAGATATATGATTTGAAAATATTTTCTCCCATTCTGAGGGGTTGCCTTTTTACTCTAGTAGTGTCTTTTCATATACATTTTAAATTTCTCATGAAGTCCAATTTGTCTATTTTTCTTTTGTTGCCTGTGCCTTTGATGTCATAATAAGGAAATCACTGCCAATTCCAATGTTATGAAGCTTTTGTCCTATCTTTTAAAATCTATAGAGACTTATTTTGTGTCCTAATATATGATCTATCCTGGAAAATGCCCCGTGTGCTCTTGAGAGGATGTATATGTTGTTGCTGGGTGAAGTGTTCAGTATGTGTCTGTTATATCTAGCCAGTTTACTGAGATGTTTAAGTCCTTTGCCTCCTTCCATGTCTGGTTGTTCTTTCCATTATTGAAGGTGAGGTACTGAAGTCTCCAACTATTATTATAGAACTGTCTATTTTACCCTTCAATTTTATGGGGTTCTGCTTCATATATTTTAATGGTGTGTCATTAGTTGAGTAAATGTTTGTAATTGTTCTGTTTTCTTGTCCTCATGATAGCAGATCCCTGTGCCTATGGTAGCAAATAGAACAGAACTCTGGTGTTACTGGTGTAGTTCTTGAACCCAGAGGATTTCCAAAGACATGGGCCTTGTTTCTGTCCTTCCTCCAGAGTATTGTACTTGTGCCAGGCCCTGGGCAAGAGTATATGATGTGCCACCCCTCACTGGTGGAAGGGTTCTGCTCTGTGTGCAAGAAGGGAAGTAAGCTGTGTTTTCTGGGTCCCCAGTGGCAGCTGGCTGTCTCCTGAATGCCTGTACTGAGGAACCTTCTCTCTGATCCCTGTCCTGTTCCCTGTATTTCTCATGAGCTCCCCCTGGAGACCCAGAGAAAAACCTACCCATGGGTGCAAACCTCTGTTCTCTGTTTTCCTGTTTCCTGAGCTGGCACACTTCCAGCATTGAAGAACTCATTGACTTTACAGCTGACTTCTTCCCACTCGTGTCTGTGTTGTACTTCTCCTTCTCTGCCCTGTCAAATGTGAGACAGTCTGTGCCAGGCTCATCATTGTGGTCCTCTGTCTGCCTAGTTCTGTGTGGCCTCAGCGTCCCTGTGAGCATGATGGGGATATTTTCTCCCACCTCAACACTGGCTCCCTCAATGTCCTTGTTATCCCATGAGACTCTTCATTCTTGGCCCATTGGAACTCAGCTTCCCAGCCCCATTGAACTCTGAGCACCGTGAAGTCCAACCTGGCCACTCTCTGCCCTCTGGGGAGATGTACCCTCTGCATTCCTGGCCCAGGGTCCTGCAGCAAACCACGGTAAATGAGTCCCCTGTGGGCCTCTGGGCTCTCTTTCTCTGAAGCACCCTCCTTCTGGCATCCAGCTGCCTTGCAGATTCCAGCTGCCTGTGTTCTTTATATTTCAGACCTGAAAAGCGTTCCAGGCAGGAGGTGGAGCCCTTGTAGACCTTGTCTCCTCTGTTTTCTCTTCTCAGTGGCCACAGCAAAAGTCCTTAGACCGATTTTTAGCTGGCTTGGGAGTTTCAAAGTAGTTTCCTAACTGCATTTTCCTGGGCGGCCTCTTCTAACACTATACCCTAAGTCTGTGGACTCTCTATTGCTCTGCATTCTATGTGCACCAGCTAATTCTTCTGTGCCTCTTTTCCTGATATTAATTACCTCACCAACACAGCAGCAGCCACAGACACTGCTGACATTCTGCTTTCTATCTCTTCCCCTCAAGGTCCACATGCATCAGCTCCAAAACAGATTCCCCAAATACAGGTCCCCTTTAACCCTGGTTAGAGGGTCTTCAGTCTGTGGGAGCAGCTCCTTCCAGTCAGGCTGGCATGGAGCCTTGGGACCCACTCACACATTGGCCAGGAAAGCTTAAAGTTTCTGGGACCAATTTCTATATCCCTCAGCACAGAGAGGACACAGGGATGATGCGCCACAAAACTCGAAGCTTTCTTTCTTGTACATATAGTGCCACCCTACAGTCCCCAACCCTACAGTCACCAGGGACAGAGCTGATGGACTCCATGCACTCACGCTATAGCAGTGGGAAGACATGCTGCATGCCTCGATGGGTTTGGCTCTGATGGTTCTTTTATAAAATTTCATGTGGCATTTATATTCACATTTCATTGACCAACACCTGAATCCCAGTGCAGAGAAGGGAGCCATTGGAGGGCAGGAGCAAGAGAAAAAGCCACTGGTTGAGCCCACTGGGCCTGGGATTGGGCTGGGCGTGTCCTCAGGAACAGGGTGGGGAGGACCTCTCACTGGACCTGTGCTTCTTTCTGACAGGTGACTCCTCAGACCACCTGCAGGAGGTGCAGATGCCTCTGATCCCATTTGCCTTGTGCCAGTTGCTTTATGGACAGACATCATACATTCTGCCAGACATGATATGTGCCGGGGACCTCAGGAACCTGAAGACTGCCTGCGAGGTGCATTCTACCTCAGGGACGGGGGCCAAACCCATGACTTTCATGTGTTCATCTGCTTAAAGGCATAGGGGATATTTGTCCTGAATGGGTGGGTGGCCCCCAAAAGCCTGGCCCCTGAGGGTTTCAGAGCACATCGCCATGTGGCCACAGGTTGGACAGAACCGTAGGTGGCCTGGGTACAGATGGGGCACAGGCCCAGTCAGTGCCCAGTGCCCTGTGGACCCCAATGCTGGCCAAAGGGGCCTTGCCTGGGGACCTCGCCTGCTGACTATCATCCTGGGCACCTGCTCTGCCTTCCCACAGCAGGGCCTGGCACTGGCCAGGTGGGGCTGCGGAGTGAAGGGGCTCTGGACTGGCCCCAGAGGGTTGGGCTCTGGGCCACCCTCATGCAGGAGGCAGCAGGCCCCAGTCTCTGGGTTCACAGGAAACTCCTCTTTTCTTCCAGGGTGATTCTGGGGGCCCACTCGTCTGTGAATTCAACCACGTCTGGGTGCAAATTGGAATAGTGAGCTGGGGCCGCGGTTGCCTGTTCCCTATGTATCCTGCAGTTTTTGCTCGAGTCTCCCATTTCTCCATATGGATCCATCATCAGATAGCACTCACACCCCTACCTCTTCAGCCGCTCCCCACCCTTTCCTCCTCTCTAGGGGCCTCCATCCATGTCCTGATGACCATGATGGCCTTCCTGACAATGTTGTGAGGGCAAGACCCCTACCCTGGCTTCCTCGTGCTGCATGCCTTGGTCCCTGCCCATCTCAGCCCAAGTCTCCAGGCATCTGAGTGAGGTGAGGGCAGCCAGCCAGGCCAATTCCAGGTCAGAGAGGGGCTTAGCCAGGGCCACACCCCAAGAAGCAGACCCAGTCTCACCAAAGAAGGGTCAGAGTGCCCAGGGAGAGTGAGGTGCCTTGGCTGAGTGCTCTGGTACCTGAGATTTGGTCATTTATTAAATATTTACAAAGTGAGCATCCTGGAATTCCTGTGTCTGTCTTTCCACCCAAGTGCTGGCTCCCTCATGCAGACAAGTGGCCTTGTCAGGATGACAGGTGGCAGAGTGAGAGGAGAATTACAAACCAACACAGCGTCTCTAGAAGGACAGCCACACAGATGCATGTCTGAGTCTAGATCCAGGCCCCAGAGAAAGGTGCTGTTTTAATACAACTACCAGTATCACAGAGTTAAGTACTTAAAGCTACAAATTGAAAATTGGGAAACATGAACTGAGAGCAAGCACATGGAAGGAATTAAAAAGATAAAAGCAGAAATCAACAAACCAAGCAGCAGGAAAACACTCAAGCTAATATTTTAAAAATCTGATTTTGAAAAAAATAAATATAGGAAAAGAAATCACTAAGCTAATCAAGATATACTAGTAAAATGAGACCAAAACACACACACACACCAAGAAATAACAAGGGGAAATAGCCATTAAACACAGAAATTTTAAGAAATCATAAGACATATTATGCAACTCTATGTAAGTAAATTTAAGATGAAAAGTTTCACTTTGTAGGAGAAAAAGAAATGAGTGAAACTCCAGAGATAGATGGTTTACTAGACCAAATTCCATGGAAGAAATGGAGAAATTTAAGAGCTTTCCCCTCCCAGTAAAAGGCCTTGACTGAGATGGTTTCCTTGGAAATCACATCCCATCTTCCACTACAGGACACCCCCTCAGTACTGCCCCCACTGTCCAGACGCTGACAGGGAGGAGTGCATCCAGATGCTCCTTAGCAGCACATGTATATAAGGATATAACTCTGATCACACAGAGAAGATTGAGACAATCCAACTTATGAATTAAAAAATCCCTAGTGAGTTATTAGCAAACATAATCCAACTTTATTTTTAAGTAGTGCATTGTAATCAAGTAGGATTTATTTCAGTAGTGCAAGGATGATTAATTACACAATCCCCAGATAAAATTCATCATACCTTTGCTTTGCTAAAGAGAATAATATTAATGAAAAGTCTTTTTTAGTTTATTTTTTATTGTTGACATTATCACAGATGTCCCCCTCCCCCCCACACTTAAGTCTTTTAACAAATCCAAAACTCATTTTCAATTTTATAAAAAGACTAGGAGTCAATGGGTAATCTACACTAATAAAAGAGTTTCTCTAGGCAACAGGTGTGTTCTTGGAACAAAGTTCAACGGCCCACTTCTGGCTTATGTGAAAGGCA